AAGTCTTGTTAGTTTGACTGAATCAAGCCCTTGATTTGGGAGCGATTATGAACACACTCTTGGCCGGATTTATTTCTAATCGCACCTTCGCTTTTTCCATGTATGTTTATATCGAATGAATGAATTTTACGAGGATTCCTAGTCTTGTTACTTCTGTAATGCTATTCGAATTTCGATAACTACCCCTCATATATATGCAACTTTTCTGCCTTTTAAATACTACTATATTTTTTTTATTTTATTTCGTATGTTTGAATAATTTCAAATTATTGTAAAATTTAATCATTCAAATTATATATATAATATACAAATTAATTAATTTGTACATTTTTCAAACACAAATATGTAGTGCATCGGCTTTAGATCAAGAGATGACATTCTTTTTTTTTTTTTCGAAATAATAGATATTATAACTCGAAAATAATCACAGTCAATGGTTACAAAACCCAACACCCAAAGGGAAGGGAATGGAGAAGCACCAACATTGCTGGTTTTATTGTTCTAGACAAAACAACTACACTAAGGAGTAAGACATTCAAAGATGGACTCTTTGAGCAAATACCAAACCCTTTATAGCTATAGAAGAGGAAATTGTTTAGCATCCTTGGGAAAATCCAATCATTGAATTTCCATAAACATTGTTTAGAAAACACATCTTTAAAATTTCACATTTCCATCTTTCATGAGAGATTGTTATCATAGAGAAGGGGAATGAATTTATTATCTAGTTTTAGTGTTGTAATCGAACGGAACAAGCCAAACTTGGACATTTGAACACGTGCTCGGTTACATTCAAACATTGTTAGTACCCTTCTTTACAATTTTTATGAGAAATTGGTGTCTATATGAACCAACAAAATCCGAAATCATGTCTTTTCATATTGTCAAAGACCTCAATTATCCAAGAACGATTATAATAACCTCAGTTAGTTTTTTATTCATCCTTTTATAGACCGATAAAATAAAAGAAGCCTTCTACTGGCGAGATTTCAAATACTAGTGCTACTACATTTCTGCATTCGACTTTTGACAACACAAAAATGAGGAGAATTGTCCACATTGATAAAAACATAACAACAGCTTGTATTTAAACTACATAGTAACAATCAACTTGCAGAATAATTCCTCAGACAATGTATAAACAAAAAAAAAAAAAGTCTGAATAATCCCACCCATATAATAATAATATTATATAGTACAAGGCAAAAGCAATGAAATGAAGCAGATGGAAACATTTATGACATTATACAGCCACAATTCATGTACTGGAAAAATGAAATAACTTAAGACATCATAGTCTCACTGCACACAACTGACTGTTTTTAACAACACATTTAGACCTTGCTGAAGCTTTAAGTATGTCCCAAAATCACTTTTAAAATAGTAGTCTGTGGTGACAAACTGATTACAAAATCTGTGACTTCTTGAAGCTACACTGTACCAATAACAATAACAATATATCACACACTAACACAAGAATCAATTCAATGAATAAAGTTGCAAAAAACAAACATAGCCATAGCCATAGCCCACTTTAAGATCAACAAATTTAAGAATCTTCATTTTGTTTTTTTGGTCTTCTCCCACCTCTCTCTGTTTCTGTATGCCATTCGAGAAACTAGGAACAAAGAAAACCAATCAAGCATCAACCACAAAATCCTGTTTGCCTATATGTCATAAATGACATGTGACAAGTATGACTCAGTTGATGACAGAACACAGCTTTAAGGATTTTGAAACTCAACGTCCTGTTTTTGCACGTTTCATTCCACTAGTATTGAAAGGTGATACACTGCCACTTGGTCCAGGGCTTTCTTCTCTAAAATTGGAATTTAGCAGGGCTAGCTCACGTAACTGGTGCCTCTTTATATAGTCCTGTGACTCGTCCTGCAGATAGCACAAGTAAAAACTTAGAGGTGCCGACAGATAACTCAAACACAAGATGTAGAATGCCCCATAAACGCAAATGGCAGTCAAACATATATAATCAAGATTCCTTTGAGTTTGACGAGGTAAAAAAATGAAACTTTGTGTACTCAGTATATCTGCCTTTATGCTAATATAGGTCGAAACTGCAATGTCATCACATCTGAAGCACCCCATAAAATCATCATTTAGTTATTTCTTCAATTTTAAAGTGCGCCATGAAAACAATCTAGGAAATTTAAAAGCAACTGAAGATTTTAATTTCTTCAGAAACAAAAGATAGAAAAAGAATAAAGATGTAGGAAGCAAAAGGAGTTGGTTTGATATGCGTACCACTGGCTTCAGCAGTTCTTCTATTATCTCCTGCGCTTGTCTCAGTTTGATATCGACAATGTTGGCTGGTAAATCAGCCTCAATCAGGATATGGAGTGGCTCGTTAAGATGCTCATAGCCTGGTCGTCCACGTAACTTCTCTTCCTGCAAATAACAGAAGATCAGTAATGAAGAAAATGCGCAAAATATATCATTAATCGATCAATTATCATAGCATATTTAACCTGTGCATCCATCGACGAAATGTATACTTATTTTGTAATTAGTCATCACATTAGACCACATACCTTGTCAGGGTCCTTTATAGAACCTTTTCCTCTAATATAAACACGGCATCCTGTGGAGGCTTCCACTCGTTTCAATGAATTTCCTCTAGGTCCCAAGAGTCGCCCAACAAAATTGAACTACAAAATCCAGAGATACTTATTGAGAAAAGTCTAGAGGAAAGGGAACCCGCCTCGAAAAATTGAGAGTAAGCCGAAAAAAGTAAGAGAGATGAAAGCAAGTGTATGGAGTTATCTTACATTAGGATAGTTATCCACAGGAATTTCTAGGCGCAAAATCCTTTTCACAGTGTAAGAACTGGGACTTGCTGGTGCTCCTTGCCAGTCCATCGACATTCCAGGAGGCCCGCTCAATCTCTGCCATGTACAAGTTGGGTGAACTCTTACTTTTGAAATTACGAATATCAAATAAACAAGACAAAAATTACAATTTGAACACACGTGATTTCGACTTCTGAGATTCATAATAGAGAGAATGAGCCAAAAAAAGATGATGGATTATCTAGTTTGTTGTTTTCAAACATTAAAGTAAGCCAACTACCAGATCAGGTAGCATGTAAAAATAAAATAATTACAGATAATGAAGATGAACATAAACAAGAAGGTTCCAGAAAAGCAGATGGGCCTGTAAACTCGCTCCAATCACACCAGAAATATTTGGATTTCAAACTTCATCAAAAAATTCAAAAAGGATGGTGTACATGAATCATATAAACTGCGCAAACAATATGTAGCTGGGGTTTTGGTTTGGATTTCTTATCAAGATCTGAACTACCTTTCAGCTTCAAACTGCAATGACCAAGCTTGAACTTAAGGAGGATGGAAAACTAGCTGAATTAAGCAACTTGGTAATTTAATGCATGCTAGGTCATGTCGCCTCGGAATTTATACTATCAGTAACTGAACTACACTGCAATATATATTTATGTCCTAAAAAAAAAAAAAAGGTCAACATCAATTACCTCATGAGGAAGTCCATTCCAGCTAGCTAATCCTGTCCCAGCAACATTAGATAGAAGGTTTGATGAAGCCATTGGGCTGGGACTTCTATGTCTTAATCTCTCAAGCTCGCCAAAGCTTTGATTCGGCATCATCCCAGTAACCCTTAATATTTCTGGAAACACATGAGAGTGCATTTGTAAGAACATGGGTGTAACCACCAATAAAGAAAATTACTCCAAAAATTAAAAGACAAGGATGTTTGCAAATTCTACAATAGAAGCACAAGAACAGCAATGGCTCCACTACGGTCTTATACAATCAAGAGTGCCTCACACATCTTTCTCAAGGAGATAATATTCTCTTGGTAAAGTTTGTGATTTCGCCTCCCTACGGGCACCATATAGGTGTTTGCAATGCCCAACGCATCTGCTGGAGCTCCAATTGAGAGCCAAAGCAATACAAACAATGTTTGACCACTTCTGCATTGAGTTCTGACTTCAGATATGGATATGCAGTGTCATACATGTAGTCATTTGCAGCAAACCAATCCTATTCAGAAACAACTAGGATTCCCCTTCCAAATAAATATATAAAGATTTGTCTTTCTTGAAAATCTCCTTGCTAGAACATCTTAGTAGCATTGAAAATAGAAATAGGGCCCAAAAAAACAAGAACTCGAGCTCAAATCAGAACTTCCAACTATTGCAACGATAATAAGCTTCAACAAAAATGGTCTTTTCATTACAAAGGACTGGTTAAACTACTCAAGAGCACATTCTAACAGAAAAATAATTTAAATATATAAACTTCACAGTCACCTCATGAATTACATACATATCATATAGGAAAAAACTAATCTTGCAGGGACTTTTTTGCAAAAAAAAAAAGAAAAAAAAATGATACTTTTTCCGTGATACAAGCAGCAGGAACGTTTACAGATCCAAACAGTAAATCTAAAAGCTGAATATCACCATCCATCCTCTCAGAAATGGAGGGAACTAGTCACAAATTCTAGAAAACCTAGATCTAATGGAGCAAGGAAAACAGTTGCAAAGCAACAATAGGAATGAAAAAGGATGAACCTTGATTCAAGAGTCTGCTACAGATGGGAAGGACTTGCATGAAAGGGCCAATCTTTTGATGCTCCGCCAAAAGCTCCGACAAATACTGGTTGCTAATTGAAAAAAAAAAAAAGCACCGGCAGATGGATCAAAACTCAACGAGTAAGCAGAGAATATAAACAATTGGGGGCAAAGGGGAAGAGAAAGAGAAAGAGAGAGAGCGAATCGTACCTGTCTACGTCTGATGTGCTTCTAATTTGTGGAGAAGCAGCTCTCGCAGGCGAGAAGTTGGGATTGTAAAGGCCCGACATGCTAATCGGGCCGAATATTCTCGGGATTTGAAGATTGAACAGCAAGAGTAACCCAGCTCAAAGCTGACACACACTAAAAAGAAAGAGAGCAGAAAAAGTAAGTTAATAGGAAAAAGAGAGAGACGCACACAACCCTCTAGAAATGGTTTCTGCAAACACAGAGAAACGAGTGTAGAAAGGTATGAGATTTACTACGGAAAAAGCCAAAATGGGTGGCAATATTTTTCTACTTTTTTTTTTTTGGGTTTTTTTTTTATTGATTTTGGAAATTAACAATGATAATTTTTTTTGGAAAAAAAAAATGTCTAGGGCCGGTATCTAATCTAATCTAATCTAATCTAATAATAAGAAATCAAGAAATGTTAAAAAGTGTTGAAGAAGATGACAGTATGAAGAATGATGGACAGACAGACAGACATTTGAACATGGGAAATTAAAAATAAACAATGGTAGATGGCTGGCTACAAACGAAAATAAGGCCGTAAAACAAGATTTTACTCGCTCGCATCGCACACAGTAGAATTTGCAGATATAATAAATAAAGGGAAAATAATGAGTAAGCGGTGAATGGGGCCAGTTGAGGGAAGGCGATGGGACCCACCGCGGCTGAGCTCCCAACAATGTCTTCTCTTCTTCCAGTTGACGTTGATGATACTGATGATGATGTCTTAGCTGGAGTGACACAGCGCCACACCTTCTCTCAACTGCACCGTTTTGGGCCATTCCACTT